GGGATTATTAACCATTTTCCTTCCTCCCTCCCCTCCCCTCAGGCCAAGCAGCAGGAAGCAGCAGTGAGCAGAAGGGAATAGCCCTCGCCTTGCCCCAGCCCTTCCTCAGACCCAACTCTGCCGCTCCAATGAGGGGTCCCGGGCACTGGACAGCCATCCTCCTCTTCCCAGTCACCAGGTCCATGCTGCTGTAACTGTGCACACATTGCTGCTTCCCAGACAGCCTCAGCTAACTCAGGCCAACACTGCCCAAGAGCATACCGACACCAAAGTGCCAGTCCACTGGCCCAGTGCACACCCCCAGGACCCACCAAGCACCTCACCACCAAGCACCACTGAATGGTGGCAGGCAGATGCCCATCCCAGACACCACCCTCCTAAGACTTAGAAGCCATGTCACTTTGCTAGAGAGAACAGCCAAAGCAGAAACTGGAGGTCCCACACCAGTTTTCAATCAAGCTTTTAATGAAAAGATCATAAAATAACAGTTTCTCATCGCTGTACATTAAGACTGCACACTTCTGAATGGAGAGATCAGTCGTTGGTGAATTGCTTTTCTTTCTATGACACTGGGCAGCTGTGTAGCTGCAGTTCTGACCTGAATTTATACAAACTCTCAAGGGACATGAACTCAATGTGACGAGTGACAGCGGCGGTGGCCAGTACAGGAGTGCGATCCCGGTGTCCCTCCCCACTCCTGGGAAGGGCATAAAACAAAACATGATCCCTCTTCCAGTTCCGATTAAACAAAACAGCTATAACCCCATCCCTCCCCCCTCCCCTTCGAGGTATTTGCGAGAAATGAGCCAGTGCCCAACCTGGGCCCCCCCCAAGGTGGGGGAGGGCAGAGGGAAGCTAGTGATGGGTGGGGTAGAGAGGTTCCCCTCAGCACCTGGCCCCACGGGGCCCGCCAAGTGGAGGGTGGGAGCCCTGGGGATCCTCCCTACCCCAGTGAGGTCTGTTATGCAGCATTTTTGAGGTCAATAAATTACAGCAATAAATAGCAAGGTGAGGTAGGGGGAGGGGGTCCTGGTAGAAAGTTAAAGTGGGGTGACTGAAGCCGGGGCATCCTAGGAAGGGGGTCCTGGGCAGCCTCAGTTCCCACCGCTCATGCCCACCCCCACCCCGGCGTGGAATGTCAGACTGAGGCTCCAGTTAGGTCCCTCCCCAGCCCCTCACTCCTGGCATCTTGATTCACAGGTTCAGTAACATCTGCCCCGACGGGGTACTGGGAAATAGGAGGACCTTGGTCCCTTTAGGGGGCATGCCAGGGCTGAGAGCCCTTGTCTGCTCTAAGGCCTGGCGCCTTTGGCTTTTGTCCCCCACGCCTGGGGGGTGGACGGATGCAGCCTCCTGCTCCCTGAGCCCTGCCCTCCGGCTGCCCAGGCCTCACCCCAACTCAGGATGGCGGCAGGAGGGCAGGGGGTCAGCCTGCCCAGCGGCCCAGCCCGGATCGCACTCCTGCATGGGGTCTGAAGTCCAGTGAATACTGACAGGTTGGGGGAGTGGGTGGGCGGCCCGGCGCCCCCGAGTGGTGACGAACGGGAAACACACATGGCTGCCTGAGGTGGGGAGTCGATGAGGGTCCAGATTGCTCATTTCACAGGCTGAGGTGTATGGCTATGCTGCAAGTCTCTGAGATTCTTATTTGCTTAAAGGTTCATCTTTTCTCTTCCTTTTTTTTGCAATCCTGGAGGAGCCCTTGCTGGGGCTCGGTCCGGCGGGAGCGTGCAGTGGCGGTATTTAGACACGTAGAGATAAATGCAGGAGAAAGTGCTAAAATAATTCAAAGTGATTCACATTATATAGTATGGGATGGAGTTAGGGAGACAAACTAGTTTTCGTTTTAAGCCTTTTTGAGAACCACTTAATTACTTAAATTCTATTCAGGAATTACTTTGATAAAGCCGAAAAATCATTTTAAATCCACTGAACAGAACTCACCAAGACCTACAGTATCTGCGCTCAAGCTCTTCTGGAGTCTGGGGTCACTGGGTTCATCTCCGGCTGCCAGGAGCCACCACGGATGCCTGCAGTCCCCTCCATCCCTGCTCCTCCTCCTGGGTCTTCACACTAGGATCCCCATTCTGGGTGGTCCCTGGGGATTATTAACCATTTTCCTTCCTCCCTCCCCTCCCCTCAGGCCAAGCAGCAGGAAGCAGCAGTGAGCAGAAGGGAACAGCCCTCGCCTTGCCCCAGCCCTTCCTCAGACCCAACTCTGCCGCTCCAATGAGGGGTCCCGGGCACTGGACAGCCATCCTCCTCTTCCCAGTCACCAGGTCCATGCTGCTGTAACTGTGCACACATTGCTGCTTCCCAGACAGCCTCAGCTAACTCAGGCCAACACTGCCCAAGAGCATACCGACACCAAAGTGCCAGTCCACTGGCCCAGTGCACACCCCCAGGACCCACCAAGCACCTCACCACCAAGCACCACTGAATGGTGGCAGGCAGATGCCCATCCCAGACACCACCCTCCTAAGACTTAGAAGCCATGTCACTTTGCTAGAGAGAACAGCCAAAGCAGAAACTGGAGGTCCCACACCAGTTTTCAATCAAGCTTTTAATGAAAAGATCATAAAATAACAGTTTCTCATCGCTGTACATTAAGACTGCACACTTCTGAATGGAGAGATCAGTCGTTGGTGAATTGCTTTTCTTTCTATGACACTGGGCAGCTGTGTAGCTGCAGTTCTGACCTGAATTTATACAAACTCTCAAGGGACATGAACTCAATGTGACGAGTGACAGCGGCGGTGGCCAGTACAGGAGTGCGATCCCGGTGTCCCTCCCCACTCCTGGGAAGGGCATAAAACAAAACATGATCCCTCTTCCAGTTCCGATTAAACAAAACAGCTATAACCCCATCCCTCCCCCCTCCCCTTCGAGGTATTTGCGAGAAATGAGCCAGTGCCCAACCTGGGCCCCCCCCAAGGTGGGGGAGGGCAGAGGGAAGCTAGTGATGGGTGGGGTAGAGAGGTTCCCCTCAGCACCTGGCCCCACGGGGCCCGCCAAGTGGAGGGTGGGAGCCCTGGGGATCCTCCCTACCCCAGTGAGGTCTGTTATGCAGCATTTTTGAGGTCAATAAATTACAGCAATAAATAGCAAGGTGAGGTAGGGGGAGGGGGTCCTGGTAGAAAGTTAAAGTGGGGTGACTGAAGCCGGGGCATCCTAGGAAGGGGGTCCTGGGCAGCCTCAGTTCCCACCGCTCATGCCCACCCCCACCCCGGCGTGGAATGTCAGACTGAGGCTCCAGTTAGGTCCCTCCCCAGCCCCTCACTCCTGGCATCTTGATTCACAGGTTCAGTAACATCTGCCCCGACGGGGTACTGGGAAATAGGAGGACCTTGGTCCCTTTAGGGGGCATGCCAGGGCTGAGAGCCCTTGTCTGCTCTAAGGCCTGGCGCCTTTGGCTTTTGTCCCCCACGCCTGGGGGGTGGACGGATGCAGCCTCCTGCTCCCTGAGCCCTGCCCTCCGGCTGCCCAGGCCTCACCCCAACTCAGGATGGCGGCAGGAGGGCAGGGGGTCAGCCTGCCCAGCGGCCCAGCCCGGATCGCACTCCTGCATGGGGTCTGAAGTCCAGTGAATACTGACAGGTTGGGGGAGTGGGTGGGCGGCCCGGCGCCCCCGAGTGGTGACGAACGGGAAACACACATGGCTGCCTGAGGTGGGGAGTCGATGAGGGTCCAGATTGCTCATTTCACAGGCTGAGGTGTATGGCTATGCTGCAAGTCTCTGAGATTCTTATTTGCTTAAAGGTTCATCTTTTCTCTTCCTTTTTTTTGCAATCCTGGAGGAGCCCTTGCTGGGGCTCGGTCCGGCGGGAGCGTGCAGTGGCGGAGCCCGGCCTGCCACCCGCTCACTCGCCCTAAGTCTGAGAAATAAATACATTCATCACTGCACAAACATATTGATACAAAAACAACACTGTTAAGAGTGTTTGCACCGTCTATGTTGGTAAGGACCAGACTCAGTCAGCCCCCTCTGCTGTCTGGGGTGGGGTTAGGGGTCCCCACTCCTGGGGACCCACCAGAGTCGACTGAGCCGTGCAAAGGTCCCGGCTTTTTGGCTTGAGTGGGACCCTCACATCAACCCATCCCCGAGGGTCACGGGCAGAGCAGCAGGGGACCCAAGCCCAGACTCAGGTCCTGTGGCCAGAACTGACGCCCATCCCCGTGTAGGCTAGCTGGTCAGGACCAGCGTGGTCCGGCCAGAGGGCCTTGGGGGTTGGTCAGCACGGGCCCAAGCTCTTTGGTGCCAGCTGGGCTTGGAGGGGCCCTGGGAATGGGGACGAGGGTTCAGGTGACTCCAGGGAGGCTTCCAGTCCCTTCCCCAGTCCCAGGGCTGCCCTTCTCTGCTCGTGAACCACTCCAGGGCCAACTCAGAAGGGCTTCCAGCAGCAGGGGAGGGTTCCCTGGACTGGCCTTACAGCTGCTGAGGTCTGAAACTGTAAAAGCTTATGTAAACAATGAGATAAATATATTAGTATCTTTTTTCTGAGCCCATGGAGGTTCCATACTCATTCAAAATGTGCTTTGGTTTAAAAAATAGGCTTTGTGAATTTGGGTATGAGCTTATTTTTTTTTCTTTTTTCTTTGTTTATCCTCTCTTTCCTACATGATATCTGCTATTTTCTGATTCCTGTTTCTCCGAAACATTCAGGAATTAAGTGACGAACGCAGAGAACTGTAAGCCGCCTTGGCCTCCAATAACCCAGTTTCCTTGTGAGGCTCTTAACATCTCCACACACACACACACTCGCACACACCCAACGTGGAAATCAAAGGAAAAAGAAAACAAAGCCAAATGTTGTGTTAATCCCGCCCTGTCCCAAAAACCCTTAAAGTCTTAAATAGGAAACTAGTGTTCTGCTTTCTCATTAAAATACAGAAAAGGCTCGATACAATACTAAGGTGGGTACAATACTATGTCGCACAAACGTCGTTGAGTGAGGGGCCTCTGCTCCCAGTCCCTGAAGTTCTGCAAAGGAATCACCTACTTTCACAAGTCACCTCACAGATGCGGCTGCCCACAGCCCGGGAGGCCACGCACACGGCCAGGTGTGTGCACATTTCCCGTGCGGTACAGACTTTGTGTCACGTGGCTTAAGTGCTGATGGGGTGGGGTGGGGTCAGGGCAGCGGGGGCGCCCTGAGTAAGGGTGGAGTCCATGGGTCTCCTCCCCCCAGGTCCCCAGCCTGACTTACTGGAACCTGAGACCCAGGGTCCAGTTCTGTTTCCCACCACCAGGAGGGAAGAAGGGCCGTCTCAGGCTGGGATCACCACAGGGAGGGCTCAGCCAGGAGCCTCATCTGCCCGACTCCCTCACCCCAAACACGCCGCTCCCCACTTCGGTCCCTGAACTCAGGCTCTGTTTTTAGCTGGAGGGTCTCTAGAGGGGTGGGGGTAGGGGATGACTGTATTTTTTTGGTCTAAACTTAAAATAGAATGAAAAGAGAAAACAAAAAAAAAAAATGGTGAAGCAAGATGACGATAAAGCCTGCCGGCCCAGCCCCACAGCTCCAGCTGGCTGAAGACAGTGGGACTGAGATCAGCAACCTTGGTCTGGCCTTGAGAGCCCACTTCGGGGCCCATGGAAGTATCTAAGGCTGGCTGAGGAAGCCCAAGATGAGGGGCGAGAGGTTGGCCCCTAGACGGTGGCCGGGGGCCAGGACTGCTCAGGGAAGTGCAATCCCTGTTCCCCAGAGGGCCCTGTGGTCAGCTGTCTCAAGCTCAAACTCTTGCAGGAATGGAGGGTGGGAGTGGCAGGATGAGGGCTCACTTCTGCCTCACCCTGGCCGGGAGCTGCAAAGAACTGCCACCCTCCTCATGGCTCCCGTCAGCACCCAGTACCTGGCTCCAGGCTGGGGCCTCACACCCCTCCCCTATGCCACAAACAGAGGTTCGTGTTCCTGGGTTGCCAGGGTCCCCTCGGGGTGCATGTGGCCCAAGGCTCAAAGGGAAAACACAGGTGAGCTGCAGGCACTGGGCCACTCAGCACCCTGCTCGCTCCTGCACACGACTTCCTGGGCGCTTGTCAAGGGCTTCCACTGCCAGTCACCAACATATTGTTGTCACGAATTCAAGAGGTAGCAAAAGGTCAGAAGTCTCCACCTTGTTCAGTGAGGAAGCAGGGAAAGCGAAACGTCTGCCCATGCGTACGGCACACACCACACAGACACACACACACACACGCACACACACAAAAATGAAAACGAGTACCGACGGCCCCGGCATCGAGTCCAGCCTCCCCCCACCCCCCGGAACCCCAGACCTTCCAGTTCAAACAGTCACATAAACGTTACACTGGTTTTTCTCTTAATAAAAAACAAGTACCTCTAAACAAAGAATATTCCTTGAAAACTACAGGAAAAGCACTCTCTCCTGAGGCAGCCGAGGCAGGGCTCAGGGACCAGGGAAGCCTTTGGGCAAGAAGGGCTTCTGGGGCCTGGAGAGGTGGCGCACCAGCACCCCTGCAGCGCCAGAGCCGGGGGACGCGCAGGAGGGCCGGCGGCCCCTGTTACATTCAGTCTTCAGACCCAGGCTCAGCCCCAGAGGGGGCGGGAAGAAAATAAGCTATTGTTTGTTTTGGTTTAAAGAACAAAAATCAAAAAGAAAAACAGAGGAGCAGATCAGTAGGAATAACAGCAACACAGGCCCAGAGGGCTCTTTAGTTGTAGAGAGGTAGGCGGTGGGGTCACCCTGACTGTCCCAGCGCCAGTGAGCAGTGCCACCCTGGCTCAAGGAGGGAGGGATCTGCACCCCCAGCACCTGTTCCCTGCAGAACCAGGGCCGCACGCGCCCGCACAGACACAAGCACACACACAGACACGGCTAGCGGGGTGGGGCCTGCTCCTGACACCACCCTGGCCGTGGCCAGCGTCCCACTGCCCTCTTTCTCCAAGCCGCCTGCAGCAAAGGGACCAGGTCCCAGCGAGACCCACGTGACCCAGCCCACAGGCCCTGCGGTGGCCCCCGCGGGGAGCTGGGGGCCTGGGTGGGATGGGGAGGTAGACGGGCTGGGACCCCTGGCTTCCCTCCTCTCGGCTCTGCTTGGTACAGACTGTCGATTAAAGCTCTGGGTGTGGGCAGTGGGGGCCAGAGGGGCCACCCGGAGCCTCCACTGGACCCAGGGTCTCGCCCCTGCCGCTGCATCACCTCGCTTCTCCTTCCATGGGTTCCCGGGGAGCAAGGTGGCAGAGGGCGCCCGCGGGTCTTTGGCTTCTAGGAGGGGGAAGTGTGCATGCGCAGGTGGCTGATGAGGTTGCGCTGCTGGGTGAACTTGCCCCCGCACAGCTGGCACTCGTAAGGCTTCTCGCCCGAGTGCACACGCATGTGCTCGGTGAGGCGGTACTGGCGGGTGAAGCGCATGCCACACTCATCGCAGGCGAAGGGCTTCAGGCCCAGGTGGCTCCGCATGTGGCGCGTCATGGTGCCGCGCTGCGTGAACATCTTGCCACAGATGTTGCAGGGGAAGGGCCGCGTCAGCCAGTGCGTCTTCTCGTGCTGCCGCAGCGTGGCTGGGTCCTTGTAGGTCTTCTCGCAGACCGAACACTTGAAGGGCCGGGGCTCAGCCGCGTAGGCCGCGCTGGGCGCTGACAGGTCCTCGGCCTCCTCCTCGGCACCCCCACTGCCTGTCTCGTAGGCACCCTCTTCCTTGATGAACAGCTCTTCCTCCGTGTGAGTCTCCACGTGCGCGTTGAGCTGCTCGGAGCTGGGGAAGCCCTTGGCGCAGGGGATGCACACGTACAAGTTGTCCCCATAGGACACTGTCTCGTAGCCCTCCTGCCGGTACATGTAGTGGGCGCTGGCATGGCCGCTGCCCCCCTCGCTCCCGCTCTGCGCGCTATCTTCACTTGCATCCTTGCCGTTTTCCTCCTCCTCCTTGCAGGGGTAAGGGGGCTCCCCATAGGGCCCGCTAGGGCCAGCCCCACCAGCCAGGATACCATTGGGAACCCTGTCCCCGACCCCCTCGCCCTCCTCTCCCGGGCAGGGACCCTTGGGCCCCGCTTCTCTCCGCTCAAAGGGGGAGCCAGCCACAGGCTCCTTCTTGCCCCACTCCTTCTTCCGAGTGGAGTGCCGGAGGCTCTTCCGAGGCTGCCCGCCAGGTGCCTCCAGCAGGCTCAGGTGGTTGTCCTCAGCCCCCTCCAGATCCATGGGCTCATCGGGGGTGCCCCCCAGCTCAGAATAAGAGGCACTGTTGGCAACGGGAGGGGCAGAGGCCGCAGGGGGCGACCCATGTTGGCTGTCGCTCAGTTGGGCTGGGTCATCGGGAGTGAGGTGGGGACCTGGCGTGGCAGGAGGCAAGGGTGGGCTTTTCTTGGACAGGTCCAAGCCCAGCTCCTGCTCGCAGCCCCCACTGCTCCCGTTGGTGCTGCTGCTGCAGCCCCCCAGGCCCACCTCCCCGCCAGCTGGACAGACGGCCCGGCCCAGACCTTGCACGCTATCCTGGTTAGAGCCACCAAGAAAGAGCTCATCGTCTGAGCCTTTGGCTTGCGGGAGCTCCTGGGGGGCGTGGGCCCCCTTGCGCCCATCCACCAGCCCGTGATACCGAGCCTGGATGACGGAGGCCGTGGACAGCCGCTGGCTGCGGGGGGGTCGCCCTATGCCGGCAGCCCCCGCCCGCCCAGAGCCAAAGGGCTTGCCGGCTCGCTTGAGTTTGCGGCGGCAGAGGGCTGCCAACTCGGGCAGCTGGAGGTAGCTGGCGGCAGTGAGGAGAGTGCTGAAGTTGGGCTCGGCTGGCTGGTCACTGGGCAGCAGCTTGCCTGTGTAGATGAAGTCCAAGATCTGCTGGAACACCGTGGAGCTGACCATGTCTGTGTCCAGGTTGATGAGGTTGTCGTGCAGGACCAGGGACTTGAAGTAGATGCTGCTGGCGGCCAGGACGTTCTTGTGGGCCCGGAAGATGGAGTTCTCCACCATGATGATGACGTCACACAGGAAGCCCTTGGTCCTCTGCTGGTTCAGCTGCAGCAGGAGCTGCTTCGAGTGGCTGGGCAGCTCCATGTCGGGCCCCATGTCCCCGCGCCCTGCCCACGCGCACCACCTGTGGGCAAGAACAGGCATGCACGCGTCAGATGACTGGGACACTCGGACCAGGGCTCTGGGGCAGGGTGGGGCTCGACAAGGCAAAGTGCCTCAGAACTTACCCCACACAGGGCAGCAGCCCCTGTGGCACAGTACACGGCACATAAGCCCACAACGCCCCCTGCATGCAGGCATAGTATATGTGTCCCCTCACTGAGGACTCAAACTGAGAAGGGACAGAGGCCCCTGCCCCATTTGCACTAATAAGAAAACGGAGGTGGAGGGTGATGAGGTGACAAATAGAGAAACAGGGATTTGCATTTGGTTTCACAGCCCGGGCTACTGTCTCTACACTAAATGAAGTCGATGACACACCCTCAGGCACCAGAAGGGGACCCAAAAATGACCAGCAGATGGCTTTAAACTTAAGAAAGCAGAGACCTCCGAGAGGAGCTTGTCTTGAAAGCTGGCAGAAATCCCCCAAAACTAAATGTTCCCTTTGAAATACGGCAGGGCCCAAATCAAACTGCCAGCAGCCTCTGGTGTGCAGCCTTGGCTCTGTTGGTATGCCCCCTGAGATGCTGACCAGGCTTTGCCAGAAGTCATGTGGCTGCCTCCCAGATGCTGCAGTCGGCCTGCAGCCCCGCCTCTCCCCAAGGCCCTGGGCCACCTTGCACTCTGGGCGGGTGCCAAGTGCTGCCCCAGCCTGGGCTGCCAGGTACCAAGCAGGAAAGGCAGTCTGGGCCAAACACCTGGCACCACCTGAACCCTCCATCCTCTCTAGGAAGGGCAGCGCCATCTGGGCCTAGGAAAGTTGGCCAGCTGGCCTCCGTCACACAGACTGGCACAGGCGCTAACCGAGTTCAGTAAGCAAGAAACACACCGACGCCACTGGTCTCTGCAGGAACCCTGCCAGCCCAGGTGTATTTCTGCTTGTGCGGCAGCAAGCCATGGGGTTTCGAGAGCGGGTGCTCCTCACCACGCTTCCCATACCCACACTGAGCAGCTTCCTCTGCCATGGACCAGGCACCCCACAGTGGGAATGC